AAAATTGGAATGTCAGAAAACGACAGAACTTTCTGAAACACCTAATACGTGTGTCCGTCCGCAAAATGAAGTGAGTGAGAAGGAAGCTCATGGGATAAACAAACCGCTAACAGAATCATGTAGCTCACAGGACTTTAGCTATTAGTGTTTTGCAATGGCATGATTGATAACACCCCAACGGCTACATAAACACCTACTGAGGTCACTTCCAGTTATTTCACATGGTGCTGCGGTGGCAGCTGAAGGTGAGTGGAAGGAGAGGAGAGGGGGGTGAAGTGTTCGAGGAGGGTAGGCGGGAAACCACCCCCAACAGGCCTAGGATGCAATTAGCTTTCGTAAGGTGATTTTAGGCCGTAAAGCGTACGCTGTGAAAGAAGGTCCCGGCGGTTGGCGGGGGACCAACCTGGTGACTTCATAAGTGGGAAACTCTGGTGGAATCGTTCGTCTAATCTACCCTGGTTTTTGGTATGAAATAAAAGCATAGCAGTAGAGCTAAATTGCCCATGGCCTGCGAATGACAAGAATAATTCTCTTTGATAATCCAAATTGCCTCAGAACCTCAATATTTAAAATACTTCGATGTAAAACTTGATACAGGAGCAATAGTTATTTGAGCCGAATGACTCGCGGAGCTCGTCGATGTGCCAATCCTGCTTTAAATGACCCTCTGCAGGAAGTAATGCAAAGCAAGGGATGCAAATGTAATGCTTATATGCAGAATATTCTTCTTCTTCTTCTTCTCCCTAGCGTTAGTCCCGCGCAGTCGCAGGGTCCGCTGTCTTTGTCAGTCGTCGCCACTTTAGTCTGTCCAGGGCGTCCTCTGCTGTGGCCATGACTTCACTTAGATCCTTCTTGATCACGTCTCTCCACCTCTTCTTTGGGGCTCCTCGCGGTCGCTTGCCTTGCACTTCGAAGTCCATCGCTGTTCTTATCGGATGATCCTGTGGCCTCCTTAGCACATGCCCATACCATCGCAGACGCTGTTCCCGTACCTTCAGCTGGACAGGGGCAGTCTGCATGACCGCTCTGACATCCTCGTTTCTAACCCTGTCCAGCGCGTCCAGCCGCAGGCCCATCTCAGCATCCTCATCTCAGCGGAGTGAAGCTGCCTTTCGTGGTTCTTGTTCAGGGGCCAGCACTCGCTGCCGTATAGCATCGCAGGCCTTACCACTGTCCGGGTACACCTTCCCTTTGAGCGTTCTGGAGCACCTTCGATCGCAGAGGATTCCAGTGGACTCCCTCCATTTCATCCATGCAGCGTTGACCCGAGCCTTCACCGCCTGATCCACACTACCGTCGGCTGCCAGATCGCTCCCAAGGTAGCGGAAGTCCTCCACTCTTTCGATGGTCTCACCATGGCCGTCTACGATCGGCTCTGCACCCTCTTCGGAGCTCAGGAACTTGGTCTTCTTGACATTCAGCCGGAGCCCGCCTTCTGCCAGGACATTCTGCCATTCTGCACCTTGGCAAGTTCCTCTCTGCTATCCGCTATCAGAGGCTATGTCGTCAGCGTAGAGGATGGTCTTCAGTGGTCCTTCCATGAGGCCCTTCACCATGGTATCGAGCGTTAGGAGGAACAGGAAGGGGCTCAGAGCTGACCCTTGATGCACCCCAACCGTGATGTTTATCTCCTTAGGCCGTGAGGGGTGCGTATGGCTGCTTTGGCTCCTTCGTACATGTCCTTCACCAGCAGGTGTTCTGGCACGTTTCGTTCCCTGAGCGACCTCCATAGCACTGCTCGTGGTTCGAACGCCTTCTCCAGGTCGAGGAAGGCTAGGTAGCAGGGTCGGCGCTTTTCTCGATACTTCTCCATCACTTGCCTTGCGATGAAGATGGCATCCGTTGTAGATCTTTCGGGCATGAACCCGAACTGTTCCTGGGAGATCGGGACCAGCTCCCGCAGCTTCTTATCGACCAGCCGCTCGTACAGCTTCATGGTATGCGCAGTCAACTTGATCCCGCGGTAGTTGGAGCAGTCCATTGCGTCGCCCTTCTGTTTGAAGATGGGGACGATGGTACTTGTCCTCCATGCATCCGGCATCTTTCCTTCCACTGTTACCTTGTTCAGGAAGCTGGTGAGCCACCTTATGCCGTACTCGCCCCCATCTGGGCCAACCGCCTTTCCAACCTTCATCCTCCCAAGTGCACACCTAACCTCATCCTTAGTCCAGAGTGCGATGGGACCAGCTGTGGCCTCTGCCCGTGAGTCGTTCTTGTGGGGGAAACTCCTCGTTCAGAAGCCCCGTGAAGTACTCTTCCCACCTCTCTTGACTTCGGCTGGCTTTCTTAGGATGACACCATCGCTGCCTTTTACACTTTTCACCACCCTGATGTCTTGAGTAGCACGATGGCGGGCCTTAGCCAGCCTGAAGACGAACTTCTCTGCGTTTCTGCTTTCCAACTTCTCGTACAAGGCGTCCATTTCCGTGTTCTTCGCCTTGGCGACAGCAGCCTTAGCGAGCCTCTTGCAACTCTTGTAGGTAGCGAGGTCTTCGGGGCTCCGGGTCTTCTGCCAGCGCTTGTATGCTTCCTTCTTCTGCTTCACGACTCGCTGGACCTCCTCGTTCCAGAACCACGCTGCCTTGTCTCCTCTGAATCCACCTCGCGTCTCGCCCAGGACCTCCTTGGCACATCGCAGGATGGTCTCAGCCGCGTTGCCCCAAGTCCGCTGTATTGGCCCGTTAGGATCTGGGAGACCGACTTCCATTATCTTTCGCCTGAGGTCATCCTTCTCCGCTTGGTGCAGCTTCCACCACCGGATTCTCCTCTCGGTTCTTACCCTTGTCTTCTTGGGGAGGTCTATCGCAATGTCTGCCAGGAGGGGCCTGTGCTGGGGAGCCAGGTCTTCGCCGGGTAGAACTTTGATATCCTTCACAGTTTTGAGGGTTGATCTTCTTACCAGCACATGGTCGATTTCCGTCTGTCTCCCTCCGCTGCTGTAGGTTACCTTTTGAGATTCCCTTTTCGCGAAGAACGTGCTGCAGACTGCCAGATCGTGGGCTGTAGCCAGGTCCAGAACCCTCTCTCCCTCAGCGTTCCTCACTTCCTATCCCTCTACCTCCGTGCACTCTTTCTAAGCCTCTTCTGTCACTACCGATGTGACCATTCAGGTCACCTGCTATGGTCAGGTAATCATCTTCCGGAACCGATCTTATGGCTTCGTCCAGGCTCAGATAGAACTCGTCCTTATCACTTTCGGGGCACCCGGCTTGCGGTGCGTACACGGAGAGTATGGTCCAGTACCCCTCCTTCGTGTCTATCCTCACAGCCATGATCCGATCGCTGATCCTGTTCACAGCGGAGACATAGTCCTTGAGCGACTCCGCTACCGCTATGGCCACGCCGTTCCGCTTGGTGTCTTCCCATTGTAGTAGAGCTTGACACCTTCCCCGATTTCCCTGGCCTTAGCACCTTTCCATCGCGTCTCCTGAAGGCATAGGACTTGGATATTCCTGCGCGTCATCAGATCAGCAACCTCTCGGGACTTCCCAGTTAGCGATCCTACGTTCAGAGTCCCAATTCGAACTAGCTTCTTTGGCCGAGGCCGTTCACTCCTCGGTAGCCCTCGCATACTGACCACAGAACTCGGGCGGGGGTTCTGCGCGCCACTTCCGGGTGACGTCCTAGCTTTATCACTGATTCTTTTTCGACTTTAGACATATTTGTTGTGACGGGGGTCTTCATCAGCCGGCCTGTCAACCTGGGCCTGACGCTGGTACTAGAACCATTTTTGCAATTTTTGCAAGGCATGGTTTAGAGCCTCGGCAGGGATCGAACTCGCGGTTTTCAGAGGTGCAGACATGAGTCTAACCTCTTAACCACTCGGCTATCCCTGCCTATATGCAGACTATTCATGAAAGTATAATATTTAGAAGAGTATATGTATGTGCATTTGTGCCACCTTTTTGTTTGAATAAGTCTCGAGAAT